GGGGGGGGGGGGTGGTGGGGTATGTATCTGGTGCTTTAGCCTGGAGAGACAGACTGCTTTAAATAGCTCTAATCCCACCCCCATCCTCGCACATGCATTCGGCCACTTTCCTGCCACTGGGTCTCCACGAGGTATCGGGAAAACACAGCCTCCTCTGCTCAGATCTGGAGGGTGTGTGGGCGGGGAGCTGTATGCGGATGTATGCATGTATGTATATATATATATATGGGCGTGCACGGGTGTGTGTGTGCAGGGTAAAATGGTGCATGGTCCGGTAAACATTCCTCTTGTCATATTGCAATATACTAATTTATTTTTGCAGTTTATTTATTTATTTGGTTTGTTATTTGATCTTTTCTTGAATATAATTTACCTCTGTTATGTAGTTGTTGGTTTATTTGTTTGTTTATTTATCTGTTTATTTATTTGTTGTTTTGTTTGTTTGTTTTTCAATAACAACTGTATTCCTTTAAGAAAAAATAATAACAAATTAAATATATATATATGTTAAAAACGTAGTTTTTGGGAGAAAGGGTGGGATTAAATAAGTGTAAACTTCTTCCCACCCCTTTCCGGATTTGTAATTAAGTAGATTATTTGTTTATACATAATTTAGAATCAGTAATATTTTTGTATATCAATTTGACACTCTTGTCTTGTTTTATACATTCAAAATAAATCAAATCAAATATAAATAGTNTTCAGGTTATTTTTTTGAACCAGGCACATCACAAAGTGCATTTACTGAATACAATAATAGCAGTCTTAATACATTTCCTGACATACAAAAAAAACAGCCAAAGAGCTCCAATGCAACACAAAGAGGTAGTACTGTAGCAATACTATTTTTTCATTTTTCAAGTAATAACAAAAAATCATACGTTTTGGTCGCATTTGACCCAGACACATTACAAAGTGCATTTAAATGAATACAGAAAGAACTGTCAAGTTACCCTTCAGTGCACAAACCCATAAAAAGGGATACGGGTAACTATATGAATACTACACTACACGTCTACTATAGTAAACTAGGTGCTTACTATCACCTCATTTGTGATTTGTCATCGCTGACTTTCGCAATGGGAGAAGGGACTATTTTTTGTTTGAACAAGAGCAGTGATTTTTGGCTCATAGGATGTCAATGACAATCCTAAGACATTGGTGAAAAGTGCTGTCAGTCAGGGAGCAGTGAGTGCTACTTTTGATTGAGTTCATGTGTGAAAAGCTTGATTCACATGNAATACAGAAAGAACTGTCAAACCCTTCAGTGCACAAACCCATAACAAGGGATACGGGTAACTATATGAATGAATACTACACTTCACGTCTACTATAGTAAACTAGGTGCTTACTATCACCTCATTTGTGATTTGTCATCGCTGACTTTCTAAATGGGAGAAGGGACATTTTTTGTTTTGAACAAGAGCAGTGATTTTTGGCTCATAGGATGTCTCTGGCAAAGCCCATCATCACCTCTGTGGGCAGAGCAAGTCCATCTAATCGACCGGCAAAGTTCTCTTTCAACCTCGCAATGAAATCTGTCATCACATCCGTGATTTGTGCCGGAGATGTGATGTGTTTGGGGAGCGTCGGAAAATGCAGCATCCGACCCGTGCTCAAGTCGGTCGCGAAAAGGTCCAGCTTGACTTGGATCTGCTCCACAAGATAAATGACCGTTTTGTCTCTGTTTACGCTTCAGAGTTGAGAGAGACATGTTTTAGAGTTGCTATCATAGGACCACCGTTACTAGCAACACTAGATGCACTTTCAAAAAACGTGCTGCGTTGTGGTTTGGTGGTTTCTATGCCACCCGGAGTGTTGCGTTCATAGTCTGTACTAGTGTAGGAATTTCGCTATGGGAGGCTGGGCCACTCGGGAGTTGGTTCTGGGCCGCATCTGGCCCGCGGGCCGCCAGTTGAATAGGCCTGCTTTATGGGCTTCTCCCTTCCCTGTATTGTGTTCTATAGCTTTCTGTGCATGTTATGGTGTGCAAAAGGCTCAATCCCTGTGTCCCCTCCAGAGTTTCTCTCCCACACTGAAACTGAGCCCCTTTCAATGTTCAGACAGAAGCCTCATCCCAATACCCCTCCTCGACTCCTCCTTTCCTTCCTTGCGCCTTACCTCCGCCTCCGTAAGATGCGAACGAGAGACACGAGGAGGTGACGCGAGGACAGAGGAGTCCTCAGGTATTAAACGACGTCTGTCAATCATGACGTGCACAGCTGTATCCCCTCTCATCGGGCTTAACTGAATAACCCATTAGAAACGGCCAATTTGTTGTTAAATATTTATTTAAATGAATGTATGATGGTTGGTCCCGCTTTTGTGTTCCGTTTTGGTGTAAAATGTAACCTACATTTAAATAAAAATATAATTATAGTAATGTGGAAGCCTTTTAGAAATAAATTGCACATAATAATTCCCACGGAGCTGTGAGCACTTATACATTTATGTGACGCTTTTCCAGTTGTCGGTTTTCCTCTGTTGAAATCGACCAGCTGTGAAGATGGGGGCGGGGCTTTTATACGCGAGCAGTGAAAACACTTCGCGTGTCTGCTTTTGGGGAAACCAACGCTGTCATTTGAACGGCGATCAAGCTGGAAGGCACAGAAGCCTCATCCCAATACCCCTCCTCAGCTCCTCCGTGTGCATTTCAGCTATTGGGACGTCCTTCAACATGGCGTGTGTCTTGATCGATTTCCGGGTCAAGTCCCGGAGGAGGGGAGGAGAGGAGTCGAGGAGGGGTATTGGGATGAGGCTAAAGCCTTTATACCAGCTGGGGACGCATGCAATGAAATATAACAGAGCTCAGACACAACATTCTTTTTCCACCTTTATTTAAAATAAAAAACAGTTCCACCAAAAGCAAATGTACAAATGCGGTAGTACAACAACAGAAACATTAGCTAAAGAAATTAAAACGTGCAAAATCCACATTTAGATAGGCTTGATCTTGAAGTGTAGGCCGATGAGACTGAAGACGAGACATTTCAGATCCTGCACCAGGTAGTAGAACACACGGAGGCCTTCAGGGTCCCTGAACACAGCGCCAAGAGAAAAGGTTAAAGCCCGGTGTCACTGAAAAATCAACAGCCTCCATCTCACAACTTCTGCATTCAGTACTCACTTTGACTGGTTGACGTCAATCAAGGAGCCAATTTTGGAAGTTGTGAATGAAATGTGTTCGTCACCAATGACGATCTCCAGTTCCTGAGAAAATAAGGACAAGTTAGTGCTATGGCTTTAAATACGTTTTTGGTCAAATTCACTACGGTGTCAGTGATTATATTCAAATCTGTGACTGTCTGTATCCATGTCCACGATCAAATATTGGAGTGCTCAAAGCATGGTAGTAAAATGGTATACCCTTCTTAATTAATGGCCAGTTATAACCACTCTTAAAAAACACACTTTCAAATTATGTTAATAGTCAATTAACTTAACTATCAAAGGTTTTTGGTCTTAAAACCTGTAGCATAGAAAGGCATGTTTTATGTTCTTATGTGTAGCCTTATTTCCTAAATGTCGTATCACTTTTTTCCAAGTGCTAAATAACCCCTGTATAAGAATGTTGTACAAAACCCAGAGGGTTACAAGGCTTCAGGAAGGCCCTGTAAAACGGAAGAAATCAGGACTAACAAAAAGAGCACACAACTGGGGCTAACAGCATGGGTAAACACCATTATTGAATCTGTAACACTGGACAATCAAACATGAACTCGAGTAGGGGCTTTACTAGTTTTTCCAGTTGTCTGTTGTTATAAGCTTTTATTTTTGCTTATGTATGGTTTTATGGGTTTCTAAAAATGTGGTTTTAATCGGGCATATGTGAACTTGTATGCTTTCTTTTAATGCCGCGTGCCAGGGACTGCAGACGAAGATTTGCCTTTTTGGCTAAATCTGACACACTTACATGATGGACGCAAGTGCTCATGTTAATTAATGTGCATAGTACCTTCTTAAATAAATAAAAATACATTACAAAACAACATGTACATTAATGATGATGGTCACTGATGGGGAATTGAGCCACAAACCTGTCTGCCGACTCTGTCAGGGGGCGGCCACAGAGCATCATCTTCCTTAGTGATCTCACTGTCATCGATGATCCTCTTCAGCTCCTCCATCACACTCTTGTGTACGTAAGCCTGGGGGTGCGGAGAAAACGTTAGTTCATGTGTGGAGCTGGGGCCAATCATTCAAGACACAAAATATGTGAAAATATATATGGAAACATCCTGCAAACCGATCTTGATGTATTTGGTTTGTACAGTGTTTGACATAGAAATAATGACAATCCATCTGCTCATTATTAAAAAGCACTGAATTACATGTTATTGCCCACTTAGGACAAATGTATGGATGTTTCAACTTCCTTCAGCTTAAACAAGGGGAAGGGATCATAATTTGGTCGTGTATGTACACCTGCAGTCATTAACCCTTTATACCAGGACCAAACATTTACGTTTATTGACATAACTTACCTCTTTTCTGATCATGACGTCATTCTTGTAGTTGCTGTTGTTTGCGTATCTCAGTTTGCCTACAACACAATGTTAAATGTTACGTTACAGTAGAAATGTAAAACAAAGCATCCCCCAACAAAACTCATGAGTTTATTTCCATTCCCTGCAGGCCACATGGCGCTTAAACGATCTGCTGATATTACTTAAAATATTACGGTCTTTATAATAATTATGTTTGCAATAATGAATTGGTCCAGACATGAACTACTATCATTTATAAAACCGTGTGAACCAAAAGACTCATTTGCCGCTCGCAACTGGTTTAGAGTGGACTGCGGCCTAGCATACGTTAGCCATTACCGAGTGGCTAGCTACGTTAGCTCAGAGGCAGGAAGACTAATACATTTGCATTACCGCCAAAATAAACTCACCGTCGGGTCTAAATTCAAACTCCAGGAACTCGTGTCCAAACTTTCCCTTGTGCCCAACATAATATCTCAAATAAAAGTCACTTGTTGACATCTTTACTCTCCAGAAAGCACTCTTTCTGGTGAAGCATACGAAACAAAACTCAGCTAGCAAACGCAACCTGGAGCCTCGATACCCATGTACGCATGCGTAGATAGTCACCGGTTTATGAAACCTTAGTGCCCCGAACTCTGCCTTACAGGAGGTTCTTTACACAGTTCAAAACCTCCAAACCCGACCTTTCCCCCTGTAAAATGGCAATAAATCCAATTACCATTTGCTTGTATAAAGCCAGTTAACTTTTGGACAAAAATTGTCCAATTAAGGTGAAATAAATGTAGGCTACCTAGCATTGAAATAATATTTTCATCCTTGAATCTGCATTCCGATTGATAACTATTTTTAATACTATCTCTAAACTTCACATCCATCTATTATAGCCTGCACAGTCAGATAGTGTCAGCGTAAAAAAACGATACATCTCAATATACTGTATGTGTGAATAGAGTTCTTTCGTTTTTAGTAATAAGTATTCAAATATAGTTTATTCTTTAATTCAGCAGTTAATTGTTATTATTGAAGTTTGGTTGTGCTCATTTCACTTCCGTTTTAACCCTTACCCTAAGCCTACATTAGCTGATAAAAAAATTGTTCTGCACATCATTTGTTCTTTATAATTTGACGAATATACCGGCTATTAAGACATTAAAAAAATATTCTATTTTAGCGAGTGTCTTATACACCCGACTATTGATATTGTTCTGTTAGTATAATATCCCCTTTATAATGAATACATTGTATATTGTTTGTTATATGAAAAGGGGAAAAAGGTTTTGCCTTGGAAACTTTACCAAGGGGAACCAAATCCCTTTGGTTTTGGCTCGTCGCATATTAATAACGTCATCACTCCGCTCACCCTGAAACTCTCCCTAGTACAGTGCACGTGTGGTTGTTGTAAACTTCTCCATGGCGGGCTCCTTTTCTCAGGAGCTTGAGGACTTGTTGAACCCTCTTCCTAAATTCGCAGACCCGGAGGATGACGGGGACGAGGTGACCAACGCGAAAGTTACGGAGAGATTCAGCGAGGATGAAGACGAAGATGGAGGCGGCCTCAGTGCCCTGCGGAAGAGCAACACAACCCTGCTGTCAGACACCGACAGACGGTACGTGGGGAAGACAGTGTCCCGTAAACAGCTTCTGATAGAAACTGGGGGATCTGGTGAGGAGGGCAGTATAGAAGGGCTAGAAGAAGATGATCCTTTGGGTTATGAAGAGGAGGAGGAAGATGATTTAGACGAAGATGACGATGAAGAGGAGGAGGTGGGCAGTGATGCTAAACTGGCGTCTAAGAAAAAGGGGATGACCCTTCCTCAAGGAGTGGACTTCAACAAGCTGACAGAGGGCATGGATGACCTGGGAGTGAGTGAAGATGATGACGAAGAGTCAGAAGGCAGCGATGAAGACGACAACGACTCTGAGATGGATGGCGAAGAAGGTGAGGACGATGGAACGGTCCGCACGTTTTCCCAAGACAAAGTGGACGAGGAGGTGGAGAAAGGCAAGGCTGTGAAGGAGCAGCTGGCCCTGTGGGACCAACTGCTGGAGGGCAGGATCAAAATGCAGAAAGCTGTGATCACCGCCAACCAGCTCCCGCAGCCGCAGACCTTCCCAGAGTTCAAGAAGACGGGTGGGGCGGAGCTGGCGGGGGAGCTGAAGAACTCCCACAAGGCTCTGAAAGCCCTCCAGAGATCCCTGTTGGAGCTCCACGACCAGCTGCTGTGGCAGAGCGCCGACACCAGGAGCGTCACTGTGGGGCCAGCCGACGAAGACGAGGAGATACACAGCGATGAGGAGGAAGAGGTAAGAGGTGTAGCGCCCAAACGGAAGCTGGAGATGGCGGAGTACCCGGACTTCATGGCTAAACGCTTCGCCGCTTTCCAGCCTTACTGCAACGCCACGCTGCAGAAGTGGCACGACAAGACCAGGCTGACTCTCGGGAAAAGCAGCAAGGGCTTTGGGGCGTTCGACAGGAACATCCTGACCCAGGTGGAGCAGGTGCTGATGGACAACGAGAGGCTGGTGCGGCGGACACAGACCCGGCGCTCAGAGTACAAAGTGCTGGGGAAAAAAGAGGTGTCTAACGTCATCTCTGAGCCCGTCTGCATGGAGGGAGAGGAGGTGGAACAGGAGCTGAAGGCCAACACGCATCTCAAGGATCTGGACGAGGACATATTCGACGATGATGATTTCTACCACCAGCTGCTGAGAGAGCTGATCGAGCGCAGGACAAGCGCATCGGACCCCAACGACCAGGTGGCCATGGGCCGGCAGTGGCTGGCCATCCAGAAGCTGCGCAGCAAGATCAAGAAGAAGGTGGACACCAAAGCCAGCAAGGGCCGCAAAGTCCGGTTCCACATCCACAGCAAGCTGATGAACTTCATGGCTCCTGTAGACCACAGCTCCGTGAGCGACGAGGCCCGCAGCGAGCTGTACCGGGGTCTGTTTGGGCAGAACTCAGCTGTCAGGGAATAGTGCAGGAAGTGATCATGGGAACAGTAACAAAGTGCCTTTTCCACAGCCTGGCCTGATGCTGAGCAGCTGTTTGTGTTGGAACAGAGACTGGGCAGGCTGTTGTCAAAAGAAACCTGAGAAATGTGTGTCATGTTGTATCACTTTTATACTGAGTAATGTTTTCAGTATGTGTTTTTGCCGAATGATACATTTCTGATTAAAATGTCATACACAAGTGTTTTCACTAAATCAAAATGCCTCGTAAAAAAATGTCCATCACACATCTAAGAGTCCAAGTCCAAGAAAATGAGCTTGAATGGATTTTTTCTCAGTAAAACCCCAAAGGTATTCCCAAGATATAAAACAGAGAAAAGAAGAAAGTCTCCATATTCAAGATTCCAAAAAGTGTATATAGTTGTTGAATACTTTTCCGTGAACAACTGATATGGGGTGGCTGTAGCTCAGGTTAGGGCACTGATCTGCATTTAGGGGGTCAGCAGTTCGATCCCACCCTCTGAAATTGAAGGGTCCTCGGGCCACATAATGAACCCCACACTTCTCAGGTATACATGTATTGAGTGACAGTAAGTCGCTTTGGAAAGGGCGTAAGCTGTAATGTGAAACTAATCATAACTGCTCTAGACTATCATTGATTTGAAGGAAAACCAATGTTATATTTTCTTCTGTCACCAAGTCTCACTACTCAGGTGAAATATGCTCTAAAAATAGTTTGGAATAGGGATCTAGCCTAATGTATACTCTGTGGCCCATATCCATACAACCTATCCTCCATACTTATTAATAGTACCGTTTTACTAGTTAGTATACAAAAGATCTAAACAATGGAATAAAACATTACTAGTGCAATACAACTGCAGTCTTCAAATATCACTGCTAATAAACTTAACATAGAAACTACTCAATTATTTTCCCAGTAAATGTTTTTTTTGGATTTGTGAGGATTTTCACTCCTGTTCTGTGAGAGAATAGTCCATGAACTCACACTCAAAAATCAGAATTTACTATACATACTTCACACTTTCCAGTGTGACCCCCCTACACACTGAAGACCTGCTTTGTGACACTGCAGACATGTGACATTACATCCCGGGCCAGTGGGACCCCTGCTCAATTGTTGACACCTAAAAAGATATGTAACTAACTAAACTGTGTTTCCTTCTATTGTATTTTAGTCTCACAATGAGGATCTTACATTTTCTTATCACAATACTGCCAGAAATGTAACTCAAGTGAAGAAGAAGCTTTTCCATTATCTATGCTCTCTACACCCATGGACAAAAACATTCATTTTACACGACACAGAAGTGTTCTTAAATAATTTTCAAATTCAACAAAGTCATACAATAACAAAAACTAAACAATCAAGGCAGCCATAGAGCAACAACTGAAAATGTTTTTTGTTGAGGTGTCTAAACTATGTGAAGCTGCTGCTCTCCTCCACAGCTTCCTGCTGTTTCTCCAGCCTGGGGGTGTTCCGGGCATCATTACTGTACTAATACACTGACAAGTACCTCGTACAATCCTACCTGAAAAATATCAAAAGGACCTCTTCCAAAGCAAGTTAAATGTCCCAACTTGTTCTTGCCATCTACCAAATGGCATCAAGCATGTGTAGATACATGAATTATACATATCCTCTTAAAAAACAACTTGTAATTTTAAATGAAAATTCAGGACCTTGGAAATGATGGGTGCGTCAACTCAAGCAAACAAAGAGTACCTGAGAACTTTATCATGACAAAATGTATACAAGAAGAAAACTCCATTAAACATTTACAGAACACATTGTGTACTTAGTACTTCATGACATTTTACAACTCAATGCATTTAGTAACACCATCTTCAGTGTGTCTTTAAATTAAACTTGCATACGTATGCATCAAGTTAATAGTAATCAATGGAAATAATACTTTGTGGTTATTTCTTAACGTAAGCAATTCTTAATGTTACCAACATCACATTAAATGGATTGCAGTAATGGCAGTATCGCATAGAGAAGAAAAAAAAGACAATTGTTCTACACAGATGGCACAGACAATGATCTTTGGTGATGTCATACATCAGATGATTTGAGGTGGAATCGGTTGGTTCGTTACACAAATTCAGTTTTTGAATGAAACAGAGGAGGTACAACTAGGGACATAGAGACAGAAAACTCAGTACATTTGAATTGCAAGTTAAAATATCCTTCATACAGAGTTCGAACAAATATTTCAAGTTGTATTGATAAAGGTATGTTGCACCTGTTAGAGTAGTGAGATATGTAAGGCCCTGCCTGCTTTAAAGCATGTTGCTACACTGTATTTATTGTATGTCTGAAGGCTGTCAAGTGTTCGGACATCTTGTTTTAGACACCATTCTTCAGTGAGTTTCAGTGCCGTGGCAAAGGCGAGCAGCAGAGAGAAATTAAATCATAAGGTAGCCCAGAGTACATGAGTTAAAGAGAAAAAAGGAACTAAACACAACAACCCTTAAACCAGCTCCACAGAGGACTGGTGTCCCTTATTCATTTCATCAGTCCTAACAGAATCATCTCAAAACAGGCCTTTTGATCGTCAGAAACAATCCAAGCACATTGGGTTGGTACCGATGGACGCTCCTGACCCTGCTGCTCGGGGCCTCCTGGGGCCGCTGCCCGGGGGCCCCTCAGTGGGGCCGGCTGCTGGACTCCATGCTCGGCTGCTTCTTCGTCGCTCCACACCCGTTAAACCAGCCGTTCAGCCGCTTGGTCATACCCCCGGTCAGAATATCCTGGATGTGCTGAACGATGAGGTTTATGGCAACTGTAGGAAGAGACACAGATATTGTGTAATCAGGCAAAGTGCGCGTCTGATGTTTTACCCATACATCTAAATCACAAAGTTACACAGTGATACTTCATTATAAAAAAGAAGGTATTCATTAAAAACTTACTGCTGTTCCTTCAAAAGGCCTAATTTCATGCTTTTTATAACATACTAAAGGTATCCAGATCTACATTTATTCATCCATCAAATCAGTTCAAAATGTGACTGGTTCCTAACTGTCATGTCTTATCAACTGCTTATCATTGTTCTTTTAAAATATATATATATTGGGAGAAACAGACAGGAAAAACATTTCCAACTAATAGATCCAGACACAGTAGTGGGAAAAATTATGTTATTTGTAATTGGATCTGAGGACTAGGGGCCGTCACAACTGGAATCTAAAGAGTATTAAACATAATTGATGTTACCATATTTTCATACAAAATAATGCAATAATATAAACTAAACATTTTAATCAAAAACATGTCCTTCCCAAACCTGAATTAGTTTGAAATAATAACTCTTAATTATGCTAACATGATCACAACGACAAGGCGTTAATAAGAGTCATACGTCATAATGACGTTAGCATGTAGCTCTGAGTACTTCTGTGCCTGCATACTGCTCGCTTTGTCGTGGACTTACTCAGTTATCTTTTTTGTTCAATTAACTGAATGCTAAATTCTGTGACTTGATGTTACGGTATAATACATGAGGCACAATTCAGGGCTACGTATCCTGCTTCTACATATTTAGACTTACTTGTATCTAGTTTTCTTTTGCACTTTGTTTTGGACAGTTAAAGTTATTTTCTCAAGTCAACAGACGGCAGCAGATGCTTTGACTTCCTTAGTTCCGAAAGCACAATTCCCAACAACAATAACAGCTGTGTCCTTTATGATAACCCTGTTGAGACTAGGATCTCCAACATGTGGTTTTCATTTGTTTGCTATCATCTCTCTCAACTCCAAAGCACACATACTCACCGAGGTTGTCCACTCCTCTCGGTATGATCACATCAGCGTATTTCTTGGTCTAATCAGAGTCAATGAAAAGGACACAGGTTTGACCGCGAGTCTACGCTCAGGGTCAGAGTGTTTGGTACATGTTGAATCGCACTTACTGGCAGACAGAACTCCTCAAACGCAGGCTTGACAAAAGTAATGTACTGCGCCAGAACGCTCTCCAAGTCCCGTCCACGTTCACCGATGTCACGCAGAACTGGCAGGGGAAAAAAGTTTGGGAAGAGTTAGGTTTAAAAAAATAAAAAAGTGAATAACGGTAGTCTGTACTTACTGTACAGGACTCTTGTATTTGTTTAGTAAATGTAAGGCTACCACAGGTTTGTTTAATCAGAGACACCTAGAGCAAAGGTAACAAAACAAATGTGTTGTTTTTAAATATGTGTTATATCTCTCGTCTTAGCTAAACTATGCAAACCACTGCATTCAAGTACTTTACAGATATGACGGATGTTAACATCTCATTCCAGCAGGAAAGTGAATCAATTATTTCCTAAAACTCCTATATCTTTACCTTAGTGTCTTGCATTCTTCTCTTTTACTGTAAATTAGTAAAAGACTATTTTTTAACTAATTATATTTTTAACAATATATGTTTTAAGCAGTTTTTTGTCCTATCTCTTATCTAATTTTAATTTGTTGAATGATATTTTCTCATATTTTTTGACTTTTTTAATACATTATTTTTAAATTCCCTTTTACCTTATATTTAATGTCACTTTTTTAGTTGTATCTCTCTACAGTATTTCTTCTTGTATAAAAAGGTTTGCAGTAAATGCTAACAAAAATAAAAAGCTGTTTGGGTGTATATTTAAAAAAACAAAACTGTAAGAAAAATAAAAGTGTCTTGTTTGTTACGTTTAGAAACAGATGGGATTTGCCCCTCGTCATGCTTGTGTGTCTCACCTCTTCGAGACAGACGTGTGTCTGCGTCGGTGTCCACAAACAGCTTCATCTGGAAAAGGTCACGGATCTCCTGAGAATAGAACATGAGGATGCCCTCAAACAGCACCACGTCCGCCGGGTACACCGTCACCGTCTCCTCCTTCCTGCCGCACCAGAAGACATTCAAAATAAAACACTCAGTATGCAACATCAGCTAAACCAAAGATTGTACAGAACTGAGCAATAGCGTTAGAGAAAACAGTTTCCATTCATCTCACTATGCTTTGAAAATTAATGTAGATAAAAGATTAGTGTAAATAATCCAACACAGTAGACATCCTTTTTCTGTTTAATATAATGTTACTGCTGTTTTATGATCTTATATAGCATACTGCTTTTACTTTGTCCTTTATGTGGATCAGAATCATTCACCTGGAGTGGGAAACAAAGTCGTACACAGGGATGTGAACCGTTTGTCCCTTCTTGAGGTCCCACAAAGTCGAAATAATGAGGTCGTTGTCAAATGCATCTTTACAGAGGAGTACAAAACAGAGACAATTGTTTATCAAGCATGATCAAATATGTACAAAGTATAAGGGTAGGAAGAAAAAGCGGGTGAGAGAGGGAGGAAATATTCTAAGAAAATGTTATTAAATTCAAGTCGTATATTTACGAAACAAATTCACTTGATAATCCCGGAGTTTAAAGTTGTAAATGATCTAGGAAAAACTAACACATTTAGAGAAAGATATTCTCTGGAATAAAGTCATACACATGGAAAGTAGAGGTAGATTTACTGGAACAATTTAACAGGCTACACATTTTAACACATTTGCAAAAGAAAATATTTGATTAATCTCTGAGATCAAGGTGGTTCAAAAAAAAAAGAAGAAAAATATTTGTAATATTCAGTGAATTTATATATTTTTTTCAACAACAACATTTCCACATGTCTACTTTAGGGAGGAGGAACAACAGTATGGAAAAGGTACTCACATGCACATGACTTTATTATCTCAGGAGAGTCTTTTCAATCTTAGTTTTCCGTAACTATTAGATTTGTTCATATTAATATACCACTTTAATCTCAGGAGTTCTGTATATTACTCTTATTTTTTTAACCTAGTGACCCTTACATGACATCAAATTTCACCATGCATACCTCACAAAGAGACCCGTAATCTCCTAGAGATGAACGGCTGTGTTTCTCTGGAGGTAAACAGCTGCAGGCTTCTATCCATCGCTCTGCTTTCAGACGCTACATGAATACAACAAAGCATGTGATGAGGTGAATAATACCTGGGTGGTCGAAGTTGAACTGGCCCTTGAGGGCCTTGGCCTTCTGCTCCCGGGTGAGGACCCTGTAGAAGCTGTCCTGGCTGAGGATGGCCACTTGTCGCTGGTGGTGGTCGATCTCATTCTGCCCCAGGAGCTCCATGATCTTACTGCACACTGAGGACTGGTCACACATGAAGAAAAACACTTGAGAAAATACTGCCACCCAATCTTAGTCATTACATCCTTCGGAACATGAGTGGTTTGATGTACAATTTAGACCTACTTTCATTTACTTTGCATTTAGTTGACACATGTCTTCATAGAGGAAAGCATAGTTACTAGAAACATTTATCCATGTAAAGGCTGAAACTTGGGGTCTTGGTGTGAACCTGGCAGACAGATGTGCTCGCAGACAGTGAGACGACAAAACAAAGATTAAAGTTTCCTTCAGATAACGGTTGTGGGAGAGCAGGTGCTCCTGAGAGCAGTTTGTCTGGTGGGAAAAAGAGGCAGAGAACCAGGAAGTCACACCCACAAACTACTGCCTGCTGAAAACACTTGTGTTGATCTAACCACACCAAAAATCAACCTCCTGTCACTTTCATGATACACGTCAAGGAGCACAAGCTACCTAAACGTCAGTCATTGAAGAAATATTCAGATCCATAAGTAGGCCTACTAACACTAACCACTTTGAAATACTCCTCTGTAACTCCTGAACTCAGAACCTGATTTAAGTAAATACAAGAATTGTCAGCCAATGCATCTCAGGTAAAAGTATTGATAGCGCAGTAAATGTTCCATGACAGTGTTTTATTTGTACATATGATGTTTGGGGATTGATATACTGCTGCATTCATGTGTATATTACATTAAACTGCTGATGTGGTTGGTCTCATGTTTGACATGTCTGTCTCCATATTCCAGAAGATCATCATGTTTGTGACTTTGTCGCTGTCCTATGAGAACCACTAGATACACTCAACTTTAAATAAGTTACTTAGGAAAACAGCCCTGTTTTCAGATTTGTGTCAATTTCACATAACCTTGAATATTTAAATCTATTTCAAAAACAATTACTTTGCACACTTGAATAGTGAATTGTGAATAGTATATTTTGTTTACTTGTTGTAGGTTGGCCTCATACTGTACACCGAAGCCAATCTGTGTATTTATATTGTATATTCTATAGAGACACTTTATGAATATACATATTTCACTATTAAAATGTCCTTTTTGTTTATATGAATATATTTACTCTTTATTTTTGTTCTATTTAATCTAATTTGTATTTCATGTGCATGCTGCTGTGATGAAAACATTTCCAAAATTGGGATCAATAAATGTATATTTAACCTAATATAAACTTAGAAATTCAACATGCACATCTGGAGACACGATTTCCCCTGGACATGAAGGGGAAGAAAACTGTTATCTGAGAAGTAGCTAAAGTGGACTAAAAAGTACAATATTCTAGTAGCAGCAGAAAAGGTAAAACACCTCCAAAATTACAGAAATTCAGTGAACGTACTTGGTTACATTCGACCCCTGTAAATAATAAATACATCTCATCATTACATTGGTTACACATTGAGAGAAAATAAAGAAATGTTTTCCCCTTGATGTGCGTGTCATAATCTCTGCAAAATATAAAACTATTGCATCATTTCTGATCTTCAGTGAGGATAACACCTATTGAAAGCTCTCTGAAAACCCTTGAATTCTGCACAACATTAAATACAGATCAGGAGTGATATCTCAGATATCTGCAGACATGTCCTGACATGTGGACAGATGAAGTCAGTGAGCCAGCCGGTGAAAGTAGGTGAGGGGAGAATCAGACAGAGCTGACACTGAGGTGTACAAAGAAGACAATAACAGGTCATGGAATCATCATGATCAGAACTAAAAAGGATATCTATACAATTAGTAAGTGTATTGAGGTCTTTTAAGGTCTGTATCTTTTGTATAATTATTATCTAAGTGGTAAGTGTGATATTCTCCAAGTGTCACGTGCTATCAGCCTGCAGACCCGGTGCAGCTGATGCTAATTAAGTGAAATGTCTCTTTTAACTCTCATACAGCCACCCTTTATATTCCCCTAAATTAAAAAAAAGGAAAATATCTGGAAGACTTTAAGTCTGATTTACATATGACACTTAATTTACCATCTAAAAAAAACATATTTTGACAATGCACATGTTATCCTGCTCTGATCTGCTACCGACATCTTTGCTCATCAAGTAGGCTAACAATCAGTCTAATTTATCTTACAGAGACGTGAAACAAATATGTTTTCATCCCGAAGAAAATTAGGCACGTCATCTTCAAAATTCCAAATGAAAATAAGGTGTCATCTCTAGCACGACAGTCACCTGATAAACACACAAACATGTCAACGCTGTTAATTATGGAAGGGAGCCCACCTTGCCGCTGGCGGTCCCTCCAGCCACCCCGATGAGGAAGGGCTGCCGGTGCACGCGCTCATGCTCGGCTCGGTCAGGCTTTGTCTCGCGGTCGACTGCCATGCTTCATCTGCAGCAGCGCGAGGTTGCGGCGCTCTCACACTACTCGTGCGCTCCTCCCCTCTGATGGTGATGCTGAAGGTGAGAAGGAGGCTGACGGAGAAAATTATCACACACACGTTGATGGAAAATGTGTGTTTTGCAATAACAAAACTGAGACCGCCATCTGCTTCTTTTTTTTAAGTGAAAGCATATGGAGCCCATTAAATTAGCATAACATAATAAAAAAAGAGGGATTGTTGTGTAGAGAGAACATATATTTTTAATAGTGAGACATGTTTATGCTCAGGTCTTTTCTGCAGACATGTCTGCACAGCCCTCCACTTTTAAATATAATAAACTGTAGCTTGTCATATTTTCATATGTTCATTGTCCTAAGTTTAACAGCTAAATATGCTAAATAGTTTATAGTTTTATTATCGTTATATTTTTGACTTCCTCTTATAACTTATTTTCTCAGATTCTTTATGTTTGTACCATGATACACCAAATCAAATTCCTTGTGTAAATGTACGGTCTGCAAACTTGATTCTGATATTGAAATGAAAGGATTTTTTCTTAATACATCTCTATTAAATAAAAAGTACTGCAGCGCAGCCTATTCAAAATGCAAATAGACTAAAAAGAAACACACACAATTCAAAACTGAAATGAGACACGATTGAAACGTATATTAAAATAGTCATAAAACACAACAAATGTCTTAATATGTATTGTTTAATGTCCTTATTGTGTGTTATTGTGCCCTTATGTATAACATTGTCATTTTGTTTGATTAATTGTAACCTAAACCTAATTTGAGTTTGACCACATTTCAAATAAAAGCATTTAGGCTATATTTGATTTTTCGGTGCACATTGTGACACGAAACCTCACAATGCAGTATCAAAAATACTGTGGCTAAATAAACACCTGTATGACACAGTGTTTTATTGAGAATAAAATATATATTGTTTTACCATTATACCATAGATCACTTGCACTCGGTAATCTGATTACTGTTGAGACCGGTGAACCGGAAGTACATCGTATGACCCCGTCTCTAATGCTGACAAGCCCTAAGAAACAAGTGTAATGTGCTCATGGTGTAACCTCTAAGAGCATTAAGACTATTCTCTGCGCGGTAGGAAAAACGGAACATTTAACGGAGCGGTTACAGAAACATGAGCACAATGTTCGCCGACACTATCCTCATCGTGTTCATCTCCGTGTGTACGGCGCTGCTCGCCGAGGGTGAGTGAACCCTGCTGACAGCCCGACGGGAAGCTAAGGCAAACCGCATGTTTCTACCGTCAAGGAAACATATTAATACGTTATTTATATTAACCATTCTGGATTACATATAAAGGAAGTATGGTTAACGTCATTACTATTGATGAATTGCTAGTTGTATCGCTTTTGAGGTCTAGCAATGGGCTAGCTAGTTAACGAAGCTAATGCTTGACAAGTCAGACAGTGTAGCGAATACAACTTCCGGTAACATTTCATAATAAGAGTCTTTCGTGAAGCGTGTGAACCGCTTTTAGTAATGTTGGTTTAAAGTAGGCTTTATTTATTCCATATGATAAAGTTGTTCTCTGCATTTGAACCATGCTATTTAAGTAAGATATTCATACAAATCAAATCTAAAGTATTTGTAGGCCTTTCTTATTTGACGTTCTCTTCAATACAGGAAAATCAAAGAATAACAATATTCCTTTAATTTTCACTTGCTGATTTTCCTGTGCATTTACTTTTTCTAAAGCATAATTTAAAATGAAGTAAGTTTAGCATCTGCATTTTAATTCTACTTTGACAGAAAACTGACAAACAAGAGGCTACAAAATGTGTTTACATTGTATTACTATCCACTGCTTATTATGAATCTTCGTCCAATAAAACTGCTCAATTAAACACAAATAATGCCTCCACCTAACTCTAGGGGTGTGCAAATATTTGCAAATCTTAATAACAGTGTTTTGTAGAATATTATGAACAGTTTATATAAATATATATAAGTATCAATAAACGTGTTGATCATCATACAGCAATGGCTCTTGTTGTTTGATCCATTAAATAACATGTCAGATACTGGAAATAGTGTTGTTAATATTTAATTCTCATGTATTTTGATTTTCTCCTTAGGTATTACTTGGGTTTTAGTGTATCGTACCGAAAAGTACAAGAGGTTAAAGGCTGAAGTGGAAAAACAAAGCAAAAAACGTAAGTGACATACTACTGTAGATTCTGCATGTATTGCTCTCCTGTAGATATTTTAATGCATTATCTTTTGCTTGTTTATTAGTTGAGAAGAAAAAGGAAACCATCACAGAATCTGCTGGACGTCAACAGAAGAAGAAAATTGGTAAGCTGCCAGTAAGCAATTTCACTGTGTAATAAGTTGCGTTTAACCAATGGTTGATACATTTCAAATAAAAACACACTCTGCTCTTGAACTGGACACTGATGGGTTTTCTATGACTCTGTGTATTACAGAAAGACAAGAAGAGAAGCTGAAGAACAACAACAGAGACTTGTCTATGGTGAGAGAAAATTCATATGTTGGAGCTAAATCCATTTATTGTCCTATAAAGGAGCTCATATCGGGATTTTGGTTGTTTTTAATGGAGTTTAGAATAAACTATATATATTGATCAGCAGTTTTTTGACATATTTATATAGTATTACAGTTCACGATATTTATTCTACAGTATTTGATTTAGCATTCTGTTTTATCTTATTATATTTTATTTATTGATAGTTCTTTTTCGAGCAACTTACCTTAACCGTTATGTCTATAGTATCACACTATTGTATTATACTTTTTGTTATGTCTTAAAGGGGACCTGTCATTCAAAATGCACTTTTTGATATCTTTTATATATAATCATGTGTCCCCGGTGTGTCGGGGAACTCACGCAGCGTCAGAAAATAAAACCCTCTCTCTTTTCCTCCGTACCCAAATCTCTAAAAACGGGGCTACAACGGAGCTGATCCAGATTTGCGTTCGATATGACGTAATATCTGAAATGTAGTTTGACTACAAAACTGTTTTGGACGTAAAATGGTCTTTGTTTACATTAGCATCGCTAAGACTCAGAGCTAACCTGTACTGGAGAGCATGTGTGTGAAGAAGCAGGAAATAAAAAGGAACTCACCTTGTGGTATAACCGGCAAAAGAGAAAGCCTTTGAGCTCCATACTGTTTCAGAAATAANGGACCTATCATGCTATTTTTAGGCAATAACATAGATACAAATATATAAAAAACATGTCTATGAAGTGTTTTGCTCAAAATACCAAACAGATCACCCATTCTAGCCATGCCTCATATCCCTCTATTTCACTTCCTGTTTCAAAAGTGCTTTGGGGTATAAAGCTTTAAAAAATGTACACAAAATAAAAGAGGAGGGGTCTGAGCTCATGCGGGACCCGGCAGCTACTGTCTAAACTAAATACTGCCGTGATGAAACGCCATATCATGGATTATCAAGGATTATTTCTGAAACAGTATGGAGCTCAAAGGCTTTCTCTTTTGCCGGTTATACCACAAGGTGAGTTCCTTTTTATTTCCTGCTTCTTCACACACATGCTCTCCAGTACANAAGAAAAAATTAAATAACAAACCAGATAAATAATTAAACTGCAAACACCCAGTTATGATCCCTGAGAGGCTCCTGAATTAATAGAACAGCCCTAACTGCCGCAGTTAGGGCTGTTCTATTAATTCAGGAGCCTCTCAGGGATCATAACTGGGTGTTTGCAGTTTAATTATTTATCTGGTTTGTTATTTAATTTTTTCTTCAATATCATTTACCTCGGTTATGTATTTGTTTGTTTATTTATTTGCTTGTTTGTTTATTTATTTATTTGTTATTTTATGTTTTTTCTATAACAAATGTATTTCTTTAAGAAAAAAATAATATATATGTTAATAATTTAGTTTTTGGGAGAAGGGGTGGGATTAAATAAGTGTAAACTTCTTCCCACCCCTTTCCGGATGTGTAATTAAGTAGATTATTTGTTTATACATAATTTAGAATCAGTAATATTTTTGTATATCAATTTGACACTCTTGTCTTGTTTTATACATTCAAAATAAATCAAATCAAATATAAATAGTTATCACCGTATTTCATTTTGTCCTGATTAACATTATTTAATTTCATATTCTGTTCTTGTACATATCCCATATTCTATTGACATGTACAGTATATAGACTTTTTGCACTATTTTGTATTTTATTATATATGTTGCATTGTTGGAGGAGCTCAGGTCAGAAGAATCTCATTGCCAACACTGTGGCTTTGTGCATATGAAAATAAAACCTTTGAAAAAGAAATGTTAGAAGGTGTAAGTGTGTGACGTGAATGTTGAGGCGCTCCAAGCAGAGAGGCTGGGAGTTAGAAGTGAAGGACAAATCACAGGGTTTGGTAAGAACAAGGACACGTTAATGACCTTGGGCTGCGATAAATCCACAAAATGAGGCTATTCTGGCCGGCATCGTGTCCCTGGCTTTCTTTTTTTCCTTCCGAATGCTGTTTATGCAAATGCCTTCATTCCTAGATAAAAGAACAAGGTTACAGAAGAACCTTCTCCTGCCTGCGTGCAAAGGACCCAGAGCACATCTTATTCTCCTATTCCCTACATCAGAGATTTTCAACCACTGTGCCGTGAGAGATGGTCAGGTGTGCCGCGGGAAATTGTCCAATTTCACTTAATCGGTTCAAATAAATATCCAACAGTGGCATGTTCCAAAGCAGGCTTAAACACTTCAAAACAAGAACATGGATTATTTGTTCGCCTGCGTAAACAAACTGAGAAACTGGTTAAAGAGATAGCTCTCAAAGCTAGCTACTTAGGAGCTTAACTGATAGCCAAATAGAGAGACTTGTCATTAAACTATCATTATATATAAGCTGCATTAGGCTAGAACGGGTCACTTAGTAACTGCTTTGGTTGTATGGTTGCTAGGGGATTTCTTTAATGTAAAAGATGTACCGAGGCTCCAAACAGGTGGAAAAACACTGCCCTACACCACCATCCACTCACATGTGGTTAAATGCCATACC